AGTACCCAGTAAGTATTTTACCTATGTACTGCCTTTTCATATTCAGACAGTGTAACTATTTTTTGCTTTAGGTTTGTAGAGACCTCTAGAAAAGCTGATCATAATGCTAATTGGGTTGGGGGAGGGGAGAGGAAGGCTTAGTAGTAAGAAGCAACTGTAAAACTAATCTTTCTGGTGTTTCTTTGTGTTTAAACGTAGAGAAGTAAATTATTGTGTTCCATAAAGTTATTCATCAGTGGGAGTGTAATAGCACAGATCACTGGTGGTTCTCTGGCAGCTTATATGTGCTCTGCTAAACCTATCCATGGACAAGTAAATCAAATAAAAACTAAAAATAAAAAGAATTAGATAAACTGTTTAAACAATAACAACAAAACCCTACATTACACTCTGCAAAAATCAGATCTTTGAAATATCTAGTTCTTCATGCAAGGAAGGTGGTTATTTACCAAAATGAAAGAACACCCTTTAAAGATGTTTCGAGAAGCTGTGAATGCACTTAAAGTTTTGAATTTTGGGATTTTACATCTGTTTCCCTCCGTTCTGCAAATTACTGCAAAAAAGTTTATGGCATGGTACAAACCCTGGATCTTTCTATAACATATATTGGTAGTACATGGATTATGAACGTCATTTAGTCTTGTTATAAAGGCTGCTTAGCTGTTCCATAGTTAAGGTTGTGTTAAGATTTGCACATAAAGCACAGAATAAAAATCTTTGCCACATGTAAATAACAATGTATCCAACTTACTGCACTTAGTTTATGAGTAAAGAATTAATTCTCAAGTAAATCTCTGTCACAATTTGAGTTGTTAAAATTTTAAAACAGGTCCTCAGAGTAATTTTTTGTTTAAATAGACCCTGTTTTGGCTTCCTATATGGAGTACATTCCTGATAGATTTTATCCCAGCTTTAAGTGTATATGTTGTTTGTTGTCATGTCTGTTTATTATATTTGCTGCATGTACTTAAATGTCAGCATTAACTATTTTGCCAATCATTTTAATTGACTTCTTTAAGTTTCAGCGTTAACACCCATGTGGGCCGGTTCACATTTCTGAGAAGCAAAATAGTCTCTTCTGGCACTACTGATTTTACTTCTGAATTCCTAGTCCTATTCTTCTTGCCGACCCAGTCCCAGCCTCCTCACCTCAGGTTTCCCATCTCAGTCTCCTTGTACAGCCAGTCCAAGTCTCTCTCCTCCCCACAGCTCCTCATCCTAGTCTCCTTGTTCAACCAGTTTCAGCCTCCCCATCTCCCTTTAGTTCCCAGTCTCCTTCCACTCTGAAGTCCCAGGCTCACCATATGCCATGTCCCAATCTAGTCCCCTCTCTTCCCCATGGTCTGCCTCGAGTCCCTTCTACAGTCAAATCAGGTGGCTGAACTGTTTTGGCCGAAATTTCAAAATTTAATCCTGAAGCAGACACCTGGAATGTAAAATAGATCGTTATAAGCAAATGAAAACAGGGTTTTTATCATAGGAAATGGGCAACCTGAATAGGAAGGCAGTGTATCCTAGTAGCCAGAGCACTGGACTGGGACTTGGGAGACCTGGGTTCTGTTTCCAGCTTAGCCACTGGCCTGTTGGATAACTTAGAGCAAGTCATTTCACCTCCCAGTGCCTCCGTTTCTCTATCTGTAAAATGGGAGTAATAATACTGACTTCATTTGTTAAAGCACTTTAAGATTTACTGAGCAAAAGCACTATATGAGTTAGGTAGGATTACCATGCACATAGCATATGAAGGATTTTGGGATGAGATACTATTAATGTGTAAGCTATCCTTTCGGTAGTGTATGCACATAATTCATTAAAATATGCACTTGTTGGCAAATGTTTCAAACATTAACTTGTAACAATCTAGCTTCTGTATACTTTGTTATAAAGTAGTAAACTCAGTAGACAAATGTAAAGGTGCTCTTAAAGTAGGCTTTTGTCCTAGTAGTTCTGTTTACCCATTTTTATAGACTTAATCTCTATAACCTTTTGAGTTTTTGGGGTGTGTGTGTGTCAGGGAGGACTGCATGCAGAATAAAGTGCAATTTTTAATATTTCTCTTTAGTTTCCCAAAAGCACTTTCCAAAAGTGTGCAATAGATTTTATGGTTAAAATTTACAAAACAATTCCTATCACAATTTGTAATAGTAGTACAAAGGGGTATTTTGGACACTTATACTATTGGTATTGTAGAAGAAATTGTCCAGAGTCAATTTTTATGGGAGTTATAAACCCTATGGAAATAGAACAGGAGTACTTGTGGCACCTTAGAGACTAACAGATTTATTTGAGCATAAGCTTTTGTGGGCTACATCCCAAAAGCTTATGCTCAAATAAATTTGTTAGTCTCTAAGGTGCCACAAGTACTCCTGATCTTTTTGCGGATACAGACTAACACGGCTGCTACTCTGAAACCTATGGAAATAAAACTTTGTAACGGGTGCTGTCACAATTCTGTATTACCTCAAATGTTACTTCTATAATTATGAAGAAACTGGAGTCCTGCTTTTTCAAACAGTAATTTAGGAATCCCTGCCAATGTAAGACATCAGATAAGTCATTATTTGGGATCAAGAGATATAACACTGGCATTTTACAGAGTGCAGGCCAAATGACAGTTTAGTCCAATGTACTATATGTCTACTATCGCCAAAGAGTTTGAAGACAGTGGTCTACTCTTTATTTTCAAGTGTAAAAATAGATTGGTATTATCTTTTGAATGTAATTTTAATAAAATATAAGCCATGCAGAATGGGAAGGTTGTCAAAGTGATTGCACAAAGTGTTTTACTGGGAATAACTCATGGGGGGGGAAGATCTTCTGTGGAACTGCACACTTTTTCTTTATAACCTATCAAATATATCATGGCAATTGGAGAGACTTAATTAGAAATCAATACAGAAGTGTTCTGCACGTTGTTAATGGGTCTAAGAGATAAATGATAGTCTCTGTAGAGACTAAGTGAATGACATTGTTCTGTTTTTGTTACTTTCTTAAGTTTTCTGTGTACTTACAGTAATATTTTTCTATGCCTGTCAGTTTGAACAGTGGTAAAACCTAAAAACAGTTAGTGGGAGTTGCATCTAAAAGGAAGTTCACACTTATATATCAGTAAAAGATTAGTCTGAGGTTCAGTTTAACTTTCAAACTAATCAGACGTGATCATTTTGATATGATGAGAGAGAACCATTTTTTTTACTCTAGCAGAAACATGCTTACGTGTATGCATGTGCCTATAATTAAATATTTATAAAGGTACATCAAAACAGGGTTATGCTGAGACGTAAATCCTCCTTTCACAAACAAAATCAGGAAATTCAGAGTTCTCTTCCTTGCAGTATGAAGGTAAATTAAGGTGACTTGTCAAAGGATCTCAAACCTCATATATCTAGCCAAAAGGATAGGTTTTAAATAAATAAATTGTGATAGTCTTTGTGACTTAACCTATGTTTTTGATTTCACTTATTAATCATTGTGCTCTATCAGTTTGAGATATAGTCAATTTAAAAAAAGTTTAGAGTAGCATCAGGTGCTACAGTTGCCCCAAGGTCTCCATGCCCATTTTTGCAGTTTTACAAATATTTTTTTCCATTACTAAAAATATTTTCATATTGTGAAAGATGCACACAAACAACAAGGGGAACTGACTAGCTTAGACTGTTGCCCATGCATTAAAATGAAAGATGTTTTTCATTTTAGCCTATTAAAGTTATCTAAGGCCATGTCTACACTGTGCGTGCTACAGCGGCATAGCTAAGCTGCTGTAACCCTTTAGGGTTGACACAGAATATAGCAACGGAAGAGGTTTTTCTGCTGTTGTAGGAACTCCACCGCCACATGCAACAGTAGTTAGGTTGACAGAAGCATTCTTCCATCAACCTAGCTGTGTCTACTCCAGGGGCTAGGTTGGCCTAGCTAGGTGCTCAGGGTTGTCAATTTTCAATTGTCAATTCAGCACCCCTGAATGCTGTAACTGTCAACTAAATTTAAGTGTAGACCAGATCTAAGTATTAATTGTAACAACAGTAGTAGGAGGGGAAAGTCAGCAGTATAGGTTGTTGATGCTGTCCTTTTAACTGTAACAAATTCTGGGCTGGTTTCTATCTGGCATATGTGATCTGAGACTGAAAACAAAGACTGGCCTCCACCTCAGGCTCCTTATGAACATGGAATGGCAGGGGCACCTTATTCTGTATTTTGGAGAGATCACATACCTAATTGGCCATGTGGCGTTCTCTCAAAATGTGTGTGATTCAACAGGCAGAGCAGAGCCAGAGGCGGAATATAGTAAGGAAGCAGGCCATCTTGGGAAGGCCATCTCTCTTTCTTCTGCCGTAAACAACAGAGGTTGGTAGGCCAGTTCTCATTTTCAGCCTGAGGTTAGATGAACAGGTCACTTAAAGCTCTCAAGAGGTTAACAGCTTGCCTGGTGTATAAAGCGATTAAACTTTGCTTTCCTAGACAGGTTTTGCTTCTCCTGATCAATAGGACTTTTCACAGCATATTCTTTGTCAACATGTGTTTCACACAGCACTAATTCAACACAGGTGAATGACATGTATGCACTTTAGTAAGGGACAGATTTCCTTCTTGAGCTGTTTTGAGGCTGTTCTATTTTTTCACATTGATACTATCATTTAAACTACAGAAATAGCTTTTACAAACCAGTCTCCTTGTTTTTTGTAGCTCATAAGTCATGTGGCCTAAACCCCTTCCCCCCCCCCCCCCAAAAAAAAAAAACCTGCCTAGCTTTTTGAAGAAGAAACATGCTGTTTGTTGATGGTGTGTCAGGAAGTCCATTTAGAAGCTGTTCTGCCATGTTATGTACTTGCAAAAGGTGGCTGTGTTATGTCCTGCCTGAAAACCACAAAGAAGGATGTTCAGAGACACAATTGGGAGTCAGCCCCCCACATTTATTTATTACTCACTCTGTAGCTCTTCTTATTTGTACATTGCGGGCGAAGTGTGGCAGACCAGTCACTTTGTTTTTTTTTCTTTTTCAGAGCCCTCTTGATAGAGCCCAAGCAGCAAAGAACAAAGGCAACAAGTATTTTAAAGCAGGAAAATATGAGCAAGCCATTCAGTGCTACACAGAGGCCATCAGTTTATGCCCCCCTGAGAAAAACATTGACCTTTCTACTTTCTACCAGAACAGAGCTGCTGCATATGAACAACTGGTATGAAGCTTGAACTTTAAAATGTGTTTGTACTCCGAAAAGTGCTATGTCTTCTTCCTCTGGCCTCCCCAACTCCAGCACATGCCAGAATAGGGCTGCCTTCCTTCTTGCATGTAGAAAGCAGAATCCCATCACCTGTACCCTCAATATTCACTAGCCCCCGACTCATAGACTTTAAGGCCAGAAGGGACCACTGTGATCATCTAATCTGACCTCCTGAACATTGCAGGCCACAGAACCTCACCCCTCCTCCTCCCCCCCCCCCCCCCCCCCGGTAATAGACCCATCACCTCTGTCTGAGATACTGAAGTTCTCAAATCATGATTTAAAGACTTCAAGTTAAAGAGAATCCACCATTTACTTTAGTTTAAACCAGCAAGTGACCCGTGCCGCATGCTGCAGAGGAAGACACACAAAAAAACAACCAAAAAACAACAAATCTAGGGTCTTAGCCAATCTGACCTGAGGGGAAATTCCTTCCCAACCCCAAATACTCAAGATCTAATTAAAAGTTAATTTCTATTGACTTGCTCTAGTCTGTTTTATAGGCCTTGGGAGAAGAAGACAAACACTAGTCCTGCTGCTTAAAAACTGGCCTTCTGTATGTGGATGTCAGCTTTGTATTTTAAAGTACCAGATAGAGACTTGGGCTCTGGCGTTACAAAAGTCTCACATTGAAAACTGAATGAGTTTGGTGTGAAAGCTAGAGAAGGAATAAATATGGGTTTTTTTCTTAACACCACTTGTTTGACTCTATAATTATAAAGCAGTTTCATTTGAGAAAGACTTTTATATACCCCAGTGACTGGTTATGGGTGAGTTTCCCCTTTTCTGATTATTTTAAAGCACCAGTGTTGGTTTAATACTGATTTTACATGTGGTAAAGAATGAGATCTCATTTGGGGGTTCTCATTTTTTATAGCGTAGACCACACCTTAATAGAGATTCTTGAGGACCACCTCTACTCCTGTGTGCTATTGCATAACATCCCTATGAAGTAACTCCTTCAAAAAGTTAATCTCATGGTATGCTTTTGCTCATGATTTCATCTTTCCTTCCCATCTGTTGTGTCCCTGTGTTCTAGTCCTCTGCTCCTTTGCACATGCTTTCCTGCCATTTCATTGTCGTCTCCTACATGTGCTGCCTAACGGCCTGGTTCCCTGGAAATTCCTTTCCCATATCCTTTGTCCTCTTCTATTAGTTGCTCCCACAGCTTCTGATCCTACGTGACTAATTGAAAAACATGCAGAAATAGCTGGAAACCAGGAGGAGGAACCAGTGTCATAAGAATTACAGCTATAATCACTTGGCTGGGGCTCTGAAATTGAGAGAAATTAGCTATTATTATAATGCCCTTTGAATGAGTAGTACCTTTTTAACTAGGCTGTTTTTATACCTGCAGCAAAAATGGAAAGAAGTGGCACAAGATTGCACAAAGGCAGTTGAGCTTAATCCTAAATATGTGAAAGCTCTCTTCAGACGTGCAAAGGCGTATGAGAAACTAGATAATAAGAAGGAATGTTTAGAAGGTGGGTACTTTTCTGTGTATGTACTTGAAATGAAGTGAAGTTAATATTTAAGAGAATGAAACTTTGAAGCACATGATATGTGGTGGAATACACAGTAACTCCTTTAAAACTATTAATTCAAAGCTACTATATGTAATTTTTTTTCTTCAGTTAAATTTCTCTATCCTTAGATGCATCTTTCAATCTATGAGCAATTAATTGGTTTAGAGCTGAGAAATTAGTTGCTCTTACTGCAGCTGTTTGTTATGCTCATGTTTCAGTAAACACCCTATGCTTTAAAGAAAGATTCAGCTAATTAAGGGAAAATACACTGTTAATTAAGATGTTAGTCATTCTAATTTCATGCCCTAACAAAAAAATGTTCCTTCCTGTCCGTTCTGGAGGAGCAGAATTAGTCTAGAAACCTATATTCTTTTTGGGGGGTGGGAGAGAAGTGCATTATAATGGTGGGGAAAACATTCCAAAAATAGCTATTAAATTCCCTTAAATCCTGTGGTCTGGTGTTCAAAGGGACACCAACAAAAACAAAACTCTTACAAAACTCTTTGTCTACCATTACCTAGAACAACTAAGATCACAAGAAAAGAAGGATAGGAAAGTTTGTTTTTCATTCAAGATCTCTGCCTCAAAACCCTATTGAGAACCCCAACCCTTCCTACTGGGGGAATGTTTAAGACATTGGAGGAGGAGAAGGTTAACTGTACACATTCACCCTGAATCTAGCAGACAACTATTACATACTGCTGTTGATTTTGTATCTTTGCTTATCCCTGTATCCCTCTGAAAGGGCTGTATTTGCACTCACCTCTTTGATATATTACTGAAAATATGCTTGCGTATATAAAGTTGTATAAGTAATTGCAGCAAGTGCCCTTTGTATAAGTTTATTTGGCAAGTGGAGTCGCCCTTCCATACTGGATGGTGTTATGAGCATTTTCCAGAACTCCCACCTCACTCTAAGCAGAGTTTCAAATTGTCTTCAGTTTCAAATGAAGGGCAAGTCTGCTATCATCTTTTAAGTGAGAATACAGTGTTAATTGTCTTCCTCCATGCCATTTAATCAAACCACAATGTAAGTTGGCAAGTCTGTTGAAATGTATTTCCTGAAACTATCTTTTCACTAATTGACAATATTTCAAGTTGTCCCTTTAACACAATTGCTTAGGTCACGTCTGCACTTCATTCCTACTGATGTGTGTTCATGAAAAATGAAATTGTTCTCAATCATACTGATGTTCATCCCCAAATTGGGGATGAAAAACAATGCTATAAATTACTTGGTGGGTGTAGGAAGGAAATCATCAGTTGGTTTCATTAGAGGCTCCTTAAGCTGAGGAAAAAAGGACCTTTAGTTGTTTGTTGCTTTCTTTACTGAGCGAGATGCCTTTCTATTACTTAGGAATAACTATAAAAATAATGGGTTAGTAGAGGACACTTTCCTTGTAACCATGCAGGATTACAGAAACTACAGTGGGGCCCGGTCTACAGTTACCAGTAGATTGGCGCTGTGGCAGTCGATGCAGCAGGTGTCGATTTAGTGCATCTTCCCTGCTAAATTGATTGCAGAGCGCTCTCTGGTCGACTCTGGTAATGTACCACTACGAGAAGAGTAAGGGAAGTTGACAGGAGAGCGCAGCGCAGTGTAGACATGTAACTGGAGTAGCGTAACTTAGGTCGACTTACACAATAGTATAGACAAGCCCTGAGAAAGGCAAGGATGGAAAGCTTGGTTTTTACTACAGGAGTCAAATTGACCCCTACATTTGAAATAGAAGTCCTATTCATTGCAAATTAATAACCTTGAGTGCTGAGTCGATGGGAATGATATTCCAGACTTGTGCTGGTTTGTGGTAGGCATCTTTCCAATATTTCACTGTCTCCCTTCCTCCCCCTCCTCCCCCCCTCCCCCCCCCCAAAAAAGTGAGGGAGCACTTGAGTAGAAGTATAGTAATATGGGAAAACCTGGTCAGTATTGCATGCATATATTGAGGGTTTTTTTTTTTTAAATTGTCACCTCAATTTATCTCCCATCTCTTGAGGAACTGTGGGAAAAGATTATTTTATGTCCAGTTAGTCCTTGTGACTGTATGGGTCCATGCAGGTGTATTAACCTGTCTGCAGGGCAGCATTAGAACAATGATTCTTTTGTCACACTACCCTTAGTGTTGAGGAAGTATCATGCATGGATGGAAGTGGATACAACGTGGACTTAACACTAGCAAGGAGGTAGCACAGTGGTGGGATTTCCTTTTAAACTTGCCCTCTTCCCCAGGCATAGATGAAGGCTGTGCAGTTTGAGTTAGAGCTTGTAAAGAACACTGATCAGATGGGAAGGTGCAGGATACAGGGCAGGAAAGGATAGGAACTTGAAAACGTAGAAAATTAGAGATCTTAGAGAGCAATAAGAGACCTAGTCACCAAACAGGAATTCCATGTTAGCGCTTGTTTCTGTGAACATAGCGGATTACTTTCCCAGATAAGCTTCAAAGTGTTCATACAAACAGTGGAAGTTCAGACCTCTAGATATATTGGTTTGAGACTGTTTGGCTGTAGATACAACAAAATTACTTACATCCATCTTCATTAAAGTTCTTTGCAACAAGGAGACGTAGCCTCATGTCTTTTAAAAACAACTTGATATTCTGGAGAACGTAGCAAACTTCATGTGAAGACTTTCAGCCTGCGAATGGGTGATTTTGTTTCCTTGGTAATGACTCATTACGATAGCTGTTTGTGTAGCACTTTAAAGACCACTGCATTGGTAATTACTAACAATCCTGCCTTTGTGTTGTTTTTCCCAGATGTCACTGCGGTCTGTATTTTAGAAGGTTTCCAAAACCAGCAAAGCATGTTGTTAGCTGATAAAGTTCTTAAACTCCTTGGAAAAGAAAAGGCCAAAGAGAAATATAAGGTATGACTGTAATACAAATTTAAAGGTTCTGCTTCCATCTGATACATTGCTTGAATTACAAAAGCACTGATGATGGTTCAGATTCTTTGTCAATGATTATTAATTAGCTACTGTTTTAACCAACTAAAATACTAAAATTGAGATAAGCAGTCTGTCATCCTGAGCTGCTGTTTTACTGATGCTGTTCTCCACTGAGCTCTGTTACCACCTTTTATTAAAAAAACAAAAAAAACAACAACCTGTAAGAAAGGGGGAATGGATGCATTTTAACTTCTAGAATACATCGTTTTACACATTGTGGATTTGAGCAAAACAGTTTGGTTTCATCTCAGACAGTAACCTGTACACTTCAGCCTAATGTATCATTATGCACAGGCGACACCCCTGACTAAGCTGGTGTGCAGTCTTAATCGGGGCTTTAATAGAATTAAGGTATAATGGGAACTACTTTAGGGGCTGTCAGTAAGTGTCACCAAAGGCTATTTCTCTGCTGCTGTTCTGTCAACCAAATGTGCAGTTAGATGGCAGGCTATCAGTTTAATTATGGTGCTTGTCAAGTTAGGCAAGGCAGTCAACGGTAATTGGAAAGATGAAGAGTGGTTGTGATCAATTGTTCTGTTCTCGATGTAATAATGGACTTAAAAAGTAAAAGGGCATTGGCAAGGTGTTTTGTACACGTTCTTTATTTTTTTAAAATTTTTTTTAATAAACATAGAAAGTTAGAAACTGAAATCTTTCCGTGCTGCCAGGGCAAAATAAGCAGAAAGAGATGGGTCAAGGAAGAGTTTTTGGTTATAAAGTATAAAGAAATGATAGTTTGTTTAAAAATTGAGACAGAGCAGCATGAGGAAAAGGGATGCAGTAGGAAGTATGGCTTTATTATTAAGGTTCTGGACTCTGTGTCAGGAGATCTGGGATTGGTTCTCAGATCTATCGCAGATTACCTGCATGACCTTGGGCTAGTCTGTCACTTACTCTTGGCTTCTCTTCCCCATCTGTAAATTGGGGGTGGTAATATCTCAGAAGGGTATTGTGAGTATCACTGTATTCATTATTATAGTAATGGTTGTGAGATGTTTAGCTACACCTCTACCCCGATATAACACGAATTCGGATATAACACGGTAAAGCAGTGCTCCGGGGGGCGGGGCTGCACACTCCGGCGGATCAAAGCAAGTTCGATATAACGCAGTTTCACCTATAAGGCGCTAAGAGTTTTTGGCTCCCGAGGACAGCGTTATATCAAGGTAGAGGTGTACAAACTGTGATTGTGGAACCATGCCCGTAGCCAGGAGCAGGGGAGTCTGGGAGATGGGGTAGAGGGCCTAGGTAGAGGAGTGAAGACACATCTAAGTCAGATTGCATATTTTGTGGTGTGTTTCAGTGTTGAACACTGGATGAAAGACACATGTCTACAGTTTATTTTGGTTAAAGGTTCAGATTTTCCAAGAGTTTCTGTGACTGGGAAGCCAAGATAATAACTAATGTGTAAGTGAATAATCTTGAACAGCGTTATCAATCTTAGTTCAGAGCTGTCTGAAATGGACAAAGCTATCTTGGAAGCTAATTAGGACTTGGAAAATTAAGGCAAGTGCATTGGAATTGTTATATCAGGAAGGAGTGAATTGTAACCCTTATGTATTACCCTCACTTTGAACAAGATACTATGTATTGCCATACAGAGGAGCTCATCCCTGGTAATTGTCAGATCAAGGGTAAAATGAGCTATGTCTGAGCAGAGCGAGTATGTTCTCTAGCAAGAGAGAGCCTCCATCATAGGGATCAACAAACTTCTCTTGTGGGAGGGACAAGGAGGAGATGTATGTCTACCCACATGTGTTAAGAGCAAGCAGGGTTAAAGGGATTCCCCATTTCCTTGAGAAAATATCCTGTTTCTTCCTTCATTTAATCTTCGCTTTCATTTTCCCTTTTGATGGGGAAATGCGTCTGCCTTTTTAAGGCAGAGTGTTATAGTATGTGAGTAAAAAGAACAGGAGTACTTGTGGCACCTTAGAGACTATCAGTATGTGAGTACTGATCCAGGCTCACAAGAAATACTCAGTGCAAAAATATATTCTTTCACCCTCAAAAGGAATGAAATAGTCAAGAATGGATTTTTTTCACTAGTAAAACCCATCCACATCTTCATTTACCACCTGATCTCAGTATTTAATAGATGAACGTTACATTTTCTGTCCCATTTCAGAACCGTGAACCTTTGATGCCTTCTCCACAGTTCATCAAATCTTACTTCAGCTCTTTCACAGATGACATAATCTCCCAAACTCTGCTTAAGGGTGAGAAATCTGATGAAGATAAGGACAAGGAGGGGGAGGCCTCAGAAGTTAAAGAAAAGTGAGTATGGGGATTGTTGGTAAAACTTGTCGCAGCCTCAGAAACTCTGCACTGTTTTATTTTATATGTATATTATATACATTATATAATGTAGTGTCAGGGTAGGAAATTTTATAATAATAAATGTACCTACAAAATAGGAACTTTTTAAAAGAAAAATGAAATTTTAATTAGATCTGACATATTAGTTCCAGACTTAGAGTAGCTTTGACTCCACCCTAAATACTAGCTCTCTTAGCATTTTATTTCCATAGGGAACAGCAGTAATGGTGTGGGTAGCTGGTTCAGTGAGAAGGGACACTGAACATCAACAGAGCTGCAGTAAGGTTTGGTGGATGGGAGGAAGTGGTTAGCTGCAACAATGCTGTTGGAGGAAGGGAGACTGGATTGGAGGAGTGTTTCCCTTCCTTCCTTTGGTGCTGTCTGTAATAAGGCTGGGGGGAGGAGATGGGGAAGAGTGTGCTGTACAAACTAGCACCTTTCATAGCAGCAGCAGCTTTGAACTAAAACAGTGGAGGCCGAAAAACCTAAAGTTTTTAACAAGTTAATAAACACCATCTGATATTGTTCAGAATGGTAATATCTAAAATGTACCTAAATGAAATGCTTGTTTACCAAGAAAAACAAATGCTGAGTACTCCTATTTTGCATATTGAATGTAATGAGAGGTGCTTGCGTACTTTACTGTTTTGCATTAGAGTTATTGTTGGATCACGTCTTCACCCTCAATAAGGAAACTATTGCAAGCAGCATTATGAGCTTCCTAGAGCAAGTTGGGGGAAACTAGTTAATGGATTTTTTTTACTTCTGTGAAAATGTTTTGATTCAAAGGCACACAGTTGAGCAGACACCACTGTTTAAAGTATGATTTTTTCCACCAAATCCTCTTCAAAATATAAAAATTGATGTGTTAATTTAGCTGAGGTTATAAAAATGTTAAAGTTAAAAAGCACTACTGTTAATATTTTATTTCCTGATCTATATCCCCTGCCTACTCTCCCCGGTTTCAGGCAGAGGTTATGATTGCCCTGATGACGTAAGCAGAAGACTTCATAATAGCACTAGGGTCAAACAGAGTCCTAGTGTAAGGACAGTTGTTCCTTGACCAAAGATCATCCCCTGCCAAACTTATCATTTCTAAAGAAGTGGATTTTGAGGGCTGGAATGGATTCTCTTTCCCCCACAGATGTAACTTGCGCGTTTTCCTCCAAACTAATTTGTTTACAATGGCCCTCATCCAGGAAACCTTTTAAGCATGTTTGTAACTTTACTCGCGGTGCCAATATCTCTAATTGTTAGAAGTGATAGTGTAGCAAACTTGCTATCTATTGTGATCAAGAAATCTGAATTCCTAGTGAAACATTCACATTGAAAATTTTTTTTATGTATTTTAACTGTTCTACACTTAATTTGCAGCTCTGGATATTTAAAGGCAAAGCAGTATATGGAAGAAGAAAACTATGATAAAATCATCAGCGAGAGCACAAAAGAAATTGACGTTAAAGGCAAATATATGGCAGAAGCTTTGCTGCTGCGAGCCACTTTCTATCTGCTTATTGGCAATGCAAATGCTGCCAAACCTGATCTAGATCAGGTCATCAGTATGGAAGATGCTAATGTAAAGGTAAGAAATCTTAAAACAGTCAGATTTTACTTTGCATGGATTCTACCGAAAAAGTGTGAATGCTTGCAAAACAGTTCAATATTTTCAAATTCCCTGGCAATTTAATGGAAGATGTTTAGCTTTTTTCTAGGGCTGTAGATTAAGCGCAGTTAACTCATGCAATTAACTCCAAAAATTAATCATGATTAAAAAATTAATTGCGATTAATCGTAGTTTTAATTGCACTGTTAAACAATAGAATATCAATTGAAATTTATTAAATATTTTTGGCTGTTTTCCTAAATTTTCAAATATATTGATTTCAATTACAACATAATATAGAGTGTACAATGCTTACTTTATATTATTATTTTTTATTACAAATATTTGCACTGTAAACATGATAAACAAAAGAAATAGTATTTTTCAATTCACCTCAGAGAAATACTGTAGAGCAACAGTCCCATGCGGAAACTACAGAATCCAAACCACTAAAAAAGAAAATCAGCCTTCTGCTGGTGGCATCTGACTCAGATGATGAAAATGAACATGCGTTGGTCTGCACTGCTTTGTGTAGTTATTGAGTAGAACCCATCGTCAGTATGGACGCATGTCTCCTGGAATGGTGGTTGAAGCATGAAGGGACATATGAATCTTTAGCTCATCTGACATGTAAATACCTTGCAATGCCAGCTACAACAGTGCTGTGCAAACACCTGTTCTCACTTTCATTGTAAACAAGAAGCGGGCAGCATTATCTCCTCCACATGTAAACAAACTTGTTTGAGCGATTGGCTGAACAAGAAGTAGGACTGAGTGGACTTGTAGGCTCTAAAATTTTACATTGTTTTAATTTTGAATACAGTTATTTTTTGTGAATAGTTATACACTTAAGTTCAGCTTTCATAATAAAGAGATTGCACTACAGTACTTGTATGAGGTGAATTGAAAATTTTTTGTTTTTTTTGTTTTTTATAGTGCAAATATTTGTAATAAAAAATAAATACAAAATGAGCACTGTGCACTTTGTATTCTGTGTTGCAATTGAAATCAACACATTTGAAAATGTGGAAAACATCCAAAAATATTTAAATAAATGGTATTCTATTATTGTTTAACAGCACGATTCATCGCTATTAATATTTTAAATCGTGCAATGAATTGCGATTAATTTTTTTAATTGCTTGACAGCCCTACTTTTTTCACCACTTTGCCTAATTATTCCTAGTGTGCTTATTATCAATGGGTGGATATTTTCATTGCAATGTGATTGGCATGCTTAAGAGTATGTCTACACTGCACGCTTTTTTCGGCAGCTTGTAGATTAATATTCAGGTAGCCTCCCAAGCACAGGTATAAACAGCAGTGTTCAAGGTGAGGCCTGGCTTAGGCAAGTAGAGTAAAGACACAGCTGAAGGGTGTGGGGATATACCAGACTACATACTCTTACACAGCTCTCTACTTGCCCAAGCCGGGCCTCCCCGTCTGCACTGCTACTTTTAGCAGTGTATTGTCCCGCTGCTGAATCCCTTCCCCACTGCAGGTAAAGACTCTGGCAGCGGAGAAAGGCTCTGCATGCTTCCCGTTGCTGGAGCCCTTCCCTACAGCAATGAAAGGCTCTGGCAGTGGAGAGCTGCTGAAGCTTTCCCCATTGCCTCCCCTCTGCCAGAACCTTTCACTGACCTGTAGCTACACACCGCCGCATATGGATGCAGCTTGCTTGTCACTGCAGCGTGTAGCTCCAGGTACACTACTTGCCACTGCCAGTGGTGTGGAGTGTAGACATTACCCAAGAAAGCTAAGTATCAATTAGCTTTACAGTAATGTGGAAAGGTCTTTTTCTTCACATGTCTACCAGGTGTTCATACCACAGGTGGAATAACTTATGAAATGGTCGTGTTGGACTCTCTCTAACTAAAAGCAGATCATGGGATCATGTTCACTGCTACATCTTATCTGTATTGGTGGTTATCTTAGTTTCTTTGTAAACTGTAGGAGACATTACAATATAAATACAGAAAAATAATTGACATGATTGTTAAATCACCTCCTAATTGTCGACCCGTTCACATATGAGAAGAAAAAAAGTGACCTTAGAATAGTAAGCTCAGATTGGTAAATCCCTAATATCCTATGCAGAATGACTAAGGGACAGAATCTCCATTTAGAAAATAAAGAAGAAACAAGAAGGGTTTGCCTGGGCTGAATGATGAAAATTAGAGAACAGATAGGATTTGAAGTCAGTAAGGTAAGGTACTTGTTAGGTGTGAACAACTTAATTCATAAGTAAGACAGTAGCTCAATTGGTTTTTGCACACTAAACTGCTATGAAAATGGCTGCTGTTTTTGGTAGATATGTCCCTTACACTTACAAGACATATATCAGAAAGAAGTAAATTAAGTCAAGGAGGAAGCATGGGTTGACTTGGTATGAAATGACCCTTGCACGTAATTGTATTAATGCTTTTAAATTTTATGTAGCACAATTTACTACTGCTTAGAATGAATGAAAAACAAATTTATGTTTTGTCATGGGAGTGACCAATGAAATGAAAAGTTGTCCGTTAACATTATTGTAACTAAAAATCTTAAGACCAACATCTAATATTTAAAAGTAAAAATGTTTGAACTTTTTTATAGCTCCGTGCTAATGCCCTGATCAAACGAGGTAGTATGTATATGCAGCAGCAACAGCCTATGCTGTCCACTCAAGATTTTAACATGGCTGCTGATATTGATCCTCAGAATGCAGATGTTTACCACCACAGAGGACAGGTAAGAGCTGTATTGCGCAGAGTTTTACCTAATTTTTTAAGTTTAAATATTTGATTAGCTTGAACTAAAGGAAAAATACAGAACAAAGATTAATAAATTGTTATACACACTTGATATAGTGCATGGCAAAAACTGTGAATTCTGACAATAATAAGCTTACACCATAACATTAAATCCACTAGAAATAGAAGGGAATAAGTGCATACGTATATGGTAATAGTTAACTACATAGGCAAAACTCACTAAGACTAAATGGTTCTGTTCACGAGTTAGATCGCATTTTCTTTGTTTAATACAGAATGTGGATCTGAACTGTTGAAATAATTTAGCATTGCTTACCTTGATCATGCTAAACAAGAAACCCAGCTCTTTATTACTTATGGGAGGAATGAAACCTCTGCGTAACTTAACTTAGGAAACATAAAATAAATGCCTGGCTAATGAAAAGGAAGTATTTGAACTTGGTTAATTTTGTGTTAGACGATATTTTAAAACACAAGTTTAGAGAACTAAGATTATATTGTTAACCTCCAGATAATCCATTAGTATCAAATGAAGTGAAGTCAAATGGCTTTGGAAAACAAAGCAGAGAGCATGTGTAACATGAAAACCCACAAAATCTGTGCCAAAGGATTACTGCAGATAACCAGCATCAGAAATCAGAAAAAGGAGGTGCAGACCTATCGGCTGTATGCTTATATTTGAACAGTTGTGAATGAAGCCAAAGTTCAATTCTTTGTCAGCTGTTTGGTACATTCAGTGCCAGGGACTTTCCTGAAGATCATGTAGGGTTTACGCTACAATTCTAAGACTGAACAAAAAACCTCTTCGTATCACTAACTAGTACAACATAGAAATCCTGTTTAAGCATATAAAACACAGATTAAACGCAGAATTAGGATTTATTCTCTCTCTTTAGCTGAAAATCCTTCTTGACCAAGTTGAAGAGGCTGTGGAAGACTTTGATGAATGTATTCGATTACGACCAGATTCTGCCTTGGCACAAGCACAGAAATGTTTTGCATTGGTAAGTGCTGTCCTATAATTTTTGTGTCTGTGTTTTTGCTGTTTTCACTGAACTTGTCCAGGTTTATTTTGATGTTTTGGTTTCCTATTTTCATTTTAAATGAATTGAAAAATCATGCATCAATATATCTTGCAATCCTTTGACATCAAATTCAAGAACTAATACAGAAAACTTTTTAGTCAGCCTGGGAGTATTTGATCATTTGGCCAATTCTTATCAATTTTTCTGCATTTGGGCAAGTACCTCATATCTTATCATATCAATATTTTTAAAAGTAGCCATTTATTAACATCTTGTAATAAAGCAATACAATTTTTTTCTCATTAATCACATCAAATACAGCTGTTCTTTACTAATGCAACTGGAAAAAACAAGACAGTCTTCTAGAAAGGGAAAGTATCTATTTCAAGCAAGTGGACATTCCACCCCTATTAGAGACTTTGAAGGGGAGAGCTGGCATATTGAGAGTAGGAAGGGATCCAAACCTTCTGGAGGGAGGGAGGGAGGCTGCTGGTGACTACCATGCCTCCCCATCTTACGCAAGGTCCATGCCACTGGATGGTTGGAAGTGTGGCCAACTCCTACAGACACTGACTTAGCAAAATGTAGGCACGCGTACCACTTTGTGTAATTTTTTGTAATGGTATTAGATTTCATTTAACTCTCTCTCTCTTTCAGGAGGCTGATTTCCTGTCCTGGCTACTTATTTTGTTTTCTTATGTTTTTACTCTGTTCTTTAATAGTATCGCCAAGCCTATACTGGAAATAATCCTTTACAAGTTCAAGCAGCTATGAAAGGCTTTGAGGATGTCATTAAAATATTTCCAAGGTGTGCTGAAGGTTATGCGCTCTATGCTCAGGTGTGTTTGATCTTAACTCTGTTATAAACTAATTCTATTTTACTCATATAAAAACAACGTGCCCTAAGCAAATAGAATTTGGCACAGTTGTGTTAAGTACACTTGTTTATGTGGTTTCCATTGTAAGAAAGTATGACTGGAATGAATAGTCATTTGGCTTTAAGTTATCTGAATGCATTCACTGGTACTCTGACTTCAGATGGGTAATGCCGGTGGGGTCCAGAATAGAGTTCCTATTATGTTTGTGTGTTTTCAGCAGCAGAAGTTACTGAAGACAAGAATTCTTAAGGATGGTGTATAGCTCACAACCTGAGACTCGTGCTCAGTGGTTTATTGTTCCTCACACGCAGTATAATTAGAACAGGTCATTGTGGACCTGCCATTACGCACATTGTGATCACCAATCTGTGCAGTTAAAGCTCTACAGCATGTTTCTGAAAGGGCTGATGAACCAAAAGACCATAAATAGTGATTTTTTGGAAATTAACAATGGTGATTAACTTGTGCATGTGCCTGCCCATACCTGTAATGAGACATCCAAGTTGGGAGCGAATGGCACCGACACAGTGTTAAGTAGTTCTAGATTCGCTCTGTGTGTTGGTTATTCATTTTTTTTAAAGTATCTCTTCTCATGCAGGCATTAACAGATCAGCAGCAATTTGGTAAGGCTGATGAAATGTACGATAAATGTATTGACCTTGAGCCAGACAATGCTACTACATATGTTCATAAAGGGTATGTATTATTGAGTCACTATTGTCTCTGTTACAATTAAGGGACTGTCTTCATTTCTGAATAAGTCACTGTTTTCAGGCCTCATCGCTTGATTACGTATATTTGCCTTAAAAGTTCAACCCAAGACTAATAACTCTTCCCCTGAAAATACTTGAGTAATTTCAAAGTTAGAAAAATAGTATTATAATTTGCTTTTTTTCAACTAAAATGTAAATTGAACTGAAATTTCAGTATGTTTTCCATTAACATGCATTCCAAAAGGCACATCTACTTGATATCAGTGTAAGAATGTTAGTTTACAAATCTTAAAACTTCTTTACGCAGTCAATAACCATTCTAAATTGGAGCTTTATGTTCCAAATTTTCATGTCGACAAAAACAATTTGTGGTTGATCCTCCTAATGGAAAGAGTTATATACACATGAAGAGGAGATAATTTCTCTTTGTTGTCCTTAAACTGCTGACAGTCTGTTATTTAAATGACTTTTGAAATTGTCTTCATTTCATATATGAAGTGAAAATTATTGCCCACCCTGCATAAGGAACTTAACTATGTTTTTTATATGAGATACTCACTTTCCCCAAGATAGGCAGGACTATGTATGGAATATATAGAAATAAGTCTGGTCTGTAATTGTGTCTTTTTGCAGTTTACTTCAACTTCAGTGGAAGCAGGATCTAGACAAAGGCTTGGAGCTCATAAGCAAGGCCATCGAAATTGATAACAAATGTGATTTTGCATATGAAACTATGGGAACGATTGAAGTGCAAAGGTAACTTTTTAAAATATAACACTTTCATTTGCAGAGACTACAGCTGTCAAGTTACCTTTGGAATTATAGTAATCCAGTAGGTTTCTCCACCACTCTTGAAAACTTCTTTGTATTGGAGAGTAGCTCTGAACAATGGGAAGCTGTGGGGCAGGACCCAGGAGTCCTGACTTGCCTAGTGTAACATTTGGGGAAAATCCTCCCTTCTCCCTGACATTTCACCATCTAGTGGCCCCATAAACTCCCCCAGTTCACCAGGAGTTTGTGCTAATGAGATAAGAATAGTGTCTGGAGTAACCTCTTTTCTGTAATTGGCATAGTGCAGGTTTCACACACTGGATTCAAGGAATTGCTTTCCAGTCATGATTCAGCCTTTAACACTTACATGCCGAGTGTGGGAGGAGCAAGTTAAATACAAGGGCCATCTTTTATACAAGTTTTGGTGGGCAGCTAGATCAGCTGAAGTTCAGGTGATAGGATTGTGTCAATTAGGGTGTAGTAATGTAGTGATGAAAGTTGTTTCTTAAAAATAACCTCTCCACACCGCTTGGTATGACCTTCAAAAAATCCACACCTAAGCCTATGAAAAGTAAAAAAGACTGTTCTGATTAGTGAACTAAATACCCATCTACATGGCCCTTCTTGCTCTTTAAACTCATTTCACATCCATGACTAATAGGCATTCCCTGTGTTTCTGTTAAACCACAGTTCTGCAAGTAATATCTCTTGATGGGCGAGGACTCCTTAATCCATGCCCTTTTCCCCAAGGAGTTTGAGCAGACTAGGCTCCAGACACCCTGGCCCCGACTAACTCTTCTTAGAGGTTGAGGGTTGTTGCACCTCTCTGGGACTATTTGCATGAAATTTCCAAAATACTCTAACTAAAAACTGAGCAATCAGATTGAAACCACTTGCAGAATATCTAGTCATAAACTTGGCAGCTAAGCCAGATACTCATGGGACCACTTTGGTTGAGTTTCAGTAAAGAATCTTTGTCTCCCCTCTGACCAAGCCTATCAGTCTCATCCTCTGCCCTGTTTTTTTCTGTCTTCCCTTTTAAGCCTTGTCTAAGAATCAGTGTGTCTTAGTGGTAAGGGCACTTTGAGAGTCAGGAGCTCTATGTTCTAGTCCCAGCTGATCTATTGGCCTGTTGGGTGACATTGGCAAGTCACACTGGCTGGCTGTGCCTCAGTTTCCCCATCTGTAAAATGGGGATGATGATACTGACCTCCTTTGTAGTACTTTGAGATCTACTGATAGAAAGTGCTCTATAACAACTAGTATTACGCCTGTGAAAATTCATTATGCTGGAAAAATGTGAAACAGTTTTGCTCGTAGTATGGACAAGGATAGTTATTTGGCAACTGGCTAGGACCTCTTACTGTATTTTACCTGTTATCCCTTCCTCCAGCTATTTGAGTTTGTATCCCCTTTGCAATTCTTCCAAGTTCACAAACTGACTTGGTAAAGACAAAAGAATAGCATGTTGGAGTAAGTATTTTGGGTAGTATAGATTCTGACGAAGTCCACGATGTACCTGGCATCAAAAAAGCAGACAGTTGTATTTTTTTGCAGGGAATAATTTGTGAGCAGTTTTGTTCAGAATAATTAATCTGCATTACTTGAGCTGCCATCTTGACTAGAAGGCCACTACTAGGCTACTTCATTACAAGATCAATACATTTGCTTTTATGGGCGACAGAGCCCATTTCCTCAAGAACACGGATTGAAAACTTCTCCCTGGCATCCCCATGTTGCCTGTGTCATCTCTAAACTTCTCCCTTTTTGGCATGTAAGAGTCCACTGAAAGCTGTTCCTCCAGATGATGTAGTTGAGTAATAACAAAGCTAGTTAAATCTGTGCTGTTTTGCATCAATCATGGAAGGTTTTTGTCTGAAAACTTCAAAACATGACCTGTAAGACAAGTGCTTCCCTCCCCTGTGTTGGCTTTGGTTACCAAACTTGCTGCTGCATTTCACTGGTGCAATGCCTATGGGTTGGTAAACTCTCTGGCCTGGTCTACACTACGACTTTAATTCGGATTTAGCTGCGTTAATCCGAATTAATCCTTAACCCGTCCACGCAACGGAGCCAGTTACTTCGAATTAAAGGGCGCTTAAAATCGATTTCTGTACTCCACCCCGACGAGCGGAGTAGCACCAAAATCGATTTTGTAAATTCGAATTAGGGGTAGTGTGGCCGCACACCACCGAATTAATGTGGTTAAAAACCGAATTAATGTGCTTAGTGTGGCCGCGCACAATCGAATTTATACAATCTGTTTCCCAAATTCGAATTATCTAAATTCGAATTAATCTCGTAGTGTAGACGTACCCTCTGGGAATAAAGGTTCTATAGAAATGTAAAATGTTACTTACTGTCTTAATTTGATGATAATCTGGTTTATTTCAGAGGCAATCTGGATAAAGCCATTGAAATGTTCAACAAAGCTATTAACCTGGCCAAATCTGAAATGGAGATGGCCCACCTCTACTCACTCTGTGATGCTGCCTATGCCCAGACAGAAGTTGCAAAGAAATATGGACTGAAACCGCCAACATTGTAAAGAAACAATGGGGGGGAGGGAGAGAATAACCTTTTAAAAGTAAAGTTGCCCACTTCAACCTAGCCTTGAAGACACTGTTGCAAACGATGTTGAATGGTGGAACTTAGTTTTTTCCTGTTCGTGGTGTTGTCATTTGTTACATCTGTTAAATGTTTAGGTGTTGTGGGAGTGGCTGTTGAAGGAAGTATGCTGTGCTGCGACTTGTTCCCTATGCAGTGGAAACCTTACCAGCTGTTAAGGGAAATAAAACAAAGTTGCAAGGGAACAAAGGATATTTTGGCCATGCAAATAAAAACTTTAATTTTTGGGTGATGATGTGGTCAATTTTTGCTTTATCAAAATAGAATTTTACAGCATGTTTTCCTGTTGATTTTATAGTTGTTAATGGTGCTGTAAAATAGGTTTCTTTTATATGCAATTAATTTCTATGGGTTGACTTTAGTTTTGCAAAAACAAAACTTAATTTACAAAACTATTTAATTGTAGGGATTTTTTAAAAGCCAATAGATGTGAAGACAAACCCTGTAAATACATCCAAGCATGCACAATCTTCCCTTACAACCTCTTCCACCCTCTGCATAACTACTTAGAAATAGTCCTGTGGCAGCTATGAAGAGGTTACTTTGGTAGTCCTTTCCCTCTCCCCAAAATGCACTTGTGTACTATATTTGAGAGCTATTTAAAAAAGCTTTCCACATAAAGCGTAGGTTACATAAAGCCTAGGTTATGCTGAAAAGGAAAACGCCCTTTCCTTCTACAGTTGTCCTCACTCTAATGCCAGTGGAAATTGTTAAAAAGTTTCCCCGTGCTTCTGAGAATTTTTCAAGAAACTGAATGTTCTGCTGAGACTGGAACTGCCAAGGTACGGTCGCGTCTGAGTTCAAACTTGGGACAGTTCAGACTTTTGGCCTAGATGTAACAGATAATATGGTGTTTAAATTTCAACTCAAGAAATGCATACATCCTTGTTCTAGCCAAGTGTTTGTAAATACCCATGAGAGGATTGGATGAGAAAATGAACAAAGCTGTCTGAACTGCCTAATAATGGATTTGGAATCTTAATTTTCTTGTTACTTAGAGCCAATGTTTGCTAAAACGACAAATATTCTGTACAAATAACACAATTGTTCAGTGAACAGCATGTTCTTTCTGATTGACTTTTTCTTAAAACACTAGTATAAACGAAGTCTTCCTATGGCTAGAAATTGTAAAGGGGACTGTAGATGCTGCTCATTACTCTTTGGAACCAAAGTCAGTCCATGATTGCCTCCCACTAGCTTCATGGGATGTAGGGAGCTCTTAATATCTTGCAGATGTTTATCTTGCATCTCATCAAATTTCATACCTTTAGTTTTGGGTCTTATCTCCACCCCCAAAATATATGCAAATCTATGGTGACTTTCTAATCTATGTCACTTAAAGGAGTGAGCTAAGCAAGTGCAAAACTAACTGCTAGCTCTGGCATCTAATGGGGGCAAGCTGTATTTTTTTTTTTACCTCAGCCTCCCTGTCTTTCCCCTTCCCTCCCAGCAATTGCTCTGAATAATGGGGTGGAGGAGGACCTGGAGACATACTGGCGTAATCCTTCCATTTACACGATTCAGGAAGTCATTTGCTTCTGAACCAGTGGTATTGGTGTGGAATGAAAGATGGTTGAAGACACGCAGTGTCAAAGGACACGGCATTAAAGAAGAGCACTGGGTTGCTTATGAAATTTTCAATCTGTGTTTCTATTAATCGAAAACAAAAACATGCCAAATCCTCAGAAACTACTCATAAGCGTGACCGTATCCTGTTCTCCAGCAGGGTTTTTATTTGCATGGCCTTATCTACAACGGACAGTTATTTTTCCTCCTCCTCCTCCTCTTCCTCCAAAAGATTAAGGGGGAAAAAAGCATGTGCTGCCTAATACTAGCATTCCACATCACGGACTGTTGCCTGCTCTTCAGATAGTTGAAACTGCACTGAAAGATGCATTTGTCTGTAATTTTTTTTGTAAATGACTTATCACCTGTAAAGTCACCAAATAAATATTACATTCAAATCTCTCTCTCTTACATGATAAGGCCAGGTTTTGGTGGAAAATTACTTACCTGCTAAGTGGAAGTTGCACAAATCTAGAATTGTGTTTTGTGTAAACAAAGTTTCTGTGAATCTAGGAGGAACTGATTCTAACTAATGAATATTCAAAACTCCCTTTTGTCTTCTCCCCATTTCTCCTCCAAAAAAGAGTGGGATGAATAAACAACCCAACCTGTGACTCCTGTCATTTGCTCAGGCACAATGTTAAGAACTTAACATGAGGAAAGGCCATCCAATCTGTAGTGAGGAAACTGAGCAGTCTGCATTCCACTTACATGTATGCCGTCACATCCCTTCACTGTGCACTTTCTGCTCAGAATCCCAGTAATAGCATGCTGGAGGGATGACCATTAAGAATTGCCTTAAAGCCAGGAATGTAAACCAGCTTTTAAAAATTCCTGTGTTTTCCATAGTTTATTTAAAAACATAATCTAGGGAAAGTGAGCCACTGATTCTGCAGACCTCAATGCACCAGGTACTGTGAGAAGCAGCTTCCCAACATGTTTCTGCCATGTAGCTTAATCCTGATCTTGTAAAATCCCTGCTATTCTAGTTCTTGCACAAAGAGTCTTAGAGAAGCATGCCAAATAGTTCACAAGGTGCATAAATGGAGATTAGGAAGAGATCATGCTTCATTTGTGACTTAAATCATCAGGATTTGAACCCAGATTCCAAGGATGAAAAACTAAGGCAGGCTTCCAAAACTAAATTGTAACTATTCAACAACTGGTCTATTGGACTGGTGAGTGAGAGCAGCTGAATCAGTAGGGATAGCTCAGCCCAGACCTCCCAACAGTGCTCATAACCAGCTTTCCTGCCTTCTGTCTAAATGCAAGATATTGCCCTCTTTTCTGTCATTCCTAAAACTACTTTTTCCTGGCAGCTGACCTTTGGGGAATATGCTGATACTGGTGCAGTGCTGGTGGTTTTCTATATTTATAGAATTCTGATGCATATATATAATACAGCACCTTAATAAAGTATGTCTTTCATCAGCACAGAAAATATTAGTTAGTGCTTTAACTATTAAATAGTGTAAGAATGGTGTGGGAAGGTTGTTTTTTTTTTGATTGTGTGAAAAAACAAAAATACCCCCACATCAGCTTCAAAAGGATATCAATGAGCCACATCAAGAGCTGATGTAAGAAGGTTGTCACCTGCTCATAACAGTGCTATATGTGAGCCTGAGCTATGACCATTTTGTGACCTCTGTCAAACTGAGAAATGTTATTCCAGTTTGGATCGCTAGGAAAATTGTCCCTACCTAGATGTGAATTTTCTCTTCATCCTACCACCAGATGTAGATTGCACTTTACATTTGCAAAACTAAGGATCGGGCGATGTAGAATCCTGCTTTTTTTTTTTTTTAAATCCTCCAAACGTTAAAAATAAACTTTAATTTACATTCTGCTGCACAGGAAGCAAAAAAACCCCAAAACCTTATCCTTCTATGAGACACTAGTTTAAAAATTAAACAAATGGCTGATGTGTTTTATAAGTCATATATGCTGACCTGGGTTTTCATCATGCTGAGGGTGGCAGACAGCAATCTAAGACAGGGGAGGCTTGGGGGGTGGCGCCTTGCAGAAATTTATATTAAACTAGACTCAAAATGGTACATTGTTTGCTAAATCTTTTATATTTTTCAACTAATAAATCTTCATTTCATCTTATAGTCTGGTTTGGGGAATTCTTATGCAGTGTGTATACTTAGTGAAAACAAGGTGCTGAAACAACTCGATTTTTGTATTTGAGAAGCGAGCTGCTGTGATTGCTATTAGAAGGGCCTTGTAAAGTGAAGCTACTGTTATGGTGCTTTTTTTGAGAGAGAGGCTACTGTAAACCCTGGACATTGGAAAACACTGTCTCTTAGGCTCAGAGTTGGTAGCAGAAAAGACATTGTTTTATTGCAAAGGTATTTTAGCCACTTAAATTGCCAGTTTGTCATGATGAAGCATGTTACCAAAATTTGTCACTCATTTCACTGAGGGGAACAGTGAAGAAATGAAGGATCCTCTACAGCTAGTAGGCCTCATCTCTACCCCGATGGCTAGTACAGCAAACACCTGTTCAGTAGTCTTCAGAGGGAGCTGCAGGTGCTCAGTGTGTCTCAAACGTAGGCCCATATTGCTGAAGAGTAGTAATTTTTTTTTCCCCTTTAGAAAACAAATTCCAGCAATAGGCCTGTTTCCAAAAGCTCCTCAGCAGAAGGTACCTTTCTAACCACCTCTTCTGCTTGCAAATGATTCAGTTCCAAATAGCAGGAGGCATAATTAACAATTAGAAAAAGCCACTTTAGATAGTACTGTACAGTCTGTGCACATACAGTCCTGACATACAAAGAAAAGGAATTCCACATCACTGAAGTTGCAGCACCAGCTGCCAAAGCCAGGAATTGCACCGTAGTTAGCTTATACTCTACATGCAAGACATAATGGTCTAAAACCTTTCTAGCACTACTCTAGATCTGGAATTATTCCATTGCAGATAGTCTAGCTGTTCCTTGGTATCACAGGGCAGAATTTGGCCCCTCACTTTTAGTATGTTTACACTGACTGGAGTCTGGCTTTAGTTACAAAACTAACTCAGGCTCAATTAGAAATTAAACTGAATGACTTGTGTAAATGCTAAGAGTGAGTTCAATGTTTACAGCAGTGAAGAGGAAGAGTAGCTTGTTAGATGAGCTAATGGTGACAAACTACTGATCTACTACATTTTAAAAAACTTTTACATAAAAAAGTTTGGGCTCCTTACAAACTTGAGAAGTAGCTACTAAAGTGAAAAGGGAATGGGTCTAGATTGTCCAGAGAACTCCAGAAGTCAGGGAGACCAAAGCAAATATAAGGGGGAATGTGTGTGATGGCCTCCTTTCTCAGCCTTGGTATCCCACATTCTTCAGGGGAGTTATTACAGATTTTCCACTATCTTTTCCAGAATTGCTACCCTGACACTTGTTTACATAGTAGTTTTGCTTTAATTATCTGCAATTTAAAACACTCCCAATCATGCAATCCCCCCCCACCCCCCATGAGAGAGGGAATTTCACACTCAGAGGGGAAGCAGGATCACACCCTCTATTAGGGCCACTGATTGGTGCTTTATTTGTACATTGTAAGGTGATAAAATATTCCAGGAGCCATCTCAAATCAGTCTTGTTTAACTGGATTTTCTTATAGCCTGTCAAAAGGATGCTGTACCACCACCACTAGGTTATAGCTTGCAGAAGAATC